CTTTTCGCTCGACAACCACCGACTAGCTTCTTTCCCCGCCGCTTATTTGTACCACGGATCACGGGATCAATGGATCCGTCTCCAGAAGGGATCGTTATCGAGTCCGTGGACGGAGATGGAGGGACGCGTATCGCGATTCAGGCTGGCGTGACCATTCCAAATTCATTCGACATCGGTCGGGCTCGCCTTCCCCGGAACGATGAACGTGGAACGATGGTGATGAGATTGCGTTTCTTTGTCGCTCGATCTCTCGGTCGGTTCCCCCGACGCTCGCCGCGTTATTTCGAACCGTGAGAATCGATCGCTTGATCGACGTCCCTATTTACCGACCGAACGAGGTAAAACGTTTCCTCTCCGGCCTCTTCGCTATTGACCACGCGTTCCGGTGCGTCACGTATCTGGAACAGTCCCTCCTAGTTAACCAAGCGTTCCACAGAGTTTCACAGGCGTCGTAATATTCGCGTCGCTTGCCGGCCACTCGTCCACTCCCGTTTCCCGTCTTCTTCTCGTTTTTATCGATCGACTCGTTTCCCGATCGGGACGAACGTCGACGGCCAGAACAACGCCACTTCCGCTCTTCATAGTCTAACGATCGGAGAGGATCTAAACTCCTGTGTTTTTCTTCCAACGACCACCACCACCACCACCACCACCTGGTAAAATCGTATTCCGTATTCACGGTAGCGGATCGCTTTAATGGAACCGGCACGTTGGGCGGAGCTGTGCAGCGAGGAGCGTTACAGTTTTATTAAAATTCACCTTTCTGCCTGTGGCCAGAACACCACGCTCCTCTCGCCTCTCGTTTCCTCGCCTCCTTTATCGACCGGTCGTATCCTTCGCTTTTCCCACTCGCATCGCGATTGGAAAGTTGAAACTGGTATCGCCTCTCCCCGCGCGATCCATGATCATCGCGAGCAAGAGGAACGGTACGCGGGCTCGAAATTAATCCTAGATTAATACCCGCCGCATCGCGAATTATACCGTCGTTCCTCGATCAAATTTCCTCCTCGAGATCGTCATCCCGCCGTATTTAACAACCGCACGCACCTCCGTCCCCATCCTTCGTCCAATTAACACAACCGGGGATCGTTAATTACAATCACTGTCCGTCTGTGTACCATGTAATCTTCACACCTTTGCAACAATCCTTCTCCTCCGTTACGAACGAATCTTAACGACACACCTCGTCTCGATCCTCATCCCACCGGGAAAACGGAATCGCTCGTATTCGAGCGAAAGAGAGAGAGAGAGAGAGAGTGAGAGAGCACGTGGTCCACCCCCAAAAAACACAGCCGGTTCCCCGTGTAAACGTACGTGGGCGCACGTGGTCCGCGGATCGACCGAGCGGATTGGCGCAATCTCGCCTGCGCGAGAGTCCGGAGCGTACTGCGTACGAGCGGGAGGTGAACGCGCCACCAGAGCCAGCTCGAGTCCCGACGACTTTGGACCCGTTGCCTCGCCGTTTGCCAATGCGCCTTCCCTTGCCCCATCCCTACTCGCCTCCTCGCCACGGCTACGACCTACCTCTTCCTGCCTCGTCGTCGTCGTCGTCGCGGCCGCTCCTCTGCCTAGCTGCTGCTGCTGCTGCTGCTGCTGCTGCTACTACTACTCCGTTCTGCTTCTCCTCCGAGGCCGGATAGTTAGTTGACTTTACCTTGTCGCAGCCTTGCGAACCACGCCGGCGAGCCTCCTTCGAGCCTCTGTTTTCTTTTCGCGTATTCGCGGTGCCGCTTCGACTTAAGATCCGCCATGCACGATATTAACGCGCGACCGATCCTCGTTTCATCCTCTCGTTTTTTCTTCTCACCGATCGAGTGCTTTCTGCGCGATTTTTCTGCTTTCTGATTGTAAAATGGTAAGGAAAAGTGTCCGTTTTTCAACGCTTTCGCTTCGGAAGTTGAAAGTGAGGTTGAAAGTGTTGGCTTGCACAGTTTCGACGGGATCAAAGTGATCAAAAAAGTGAGTATGCAAAAATTATCGGTCGATTGATCCGAATTTTAATCTCCTTCGAGCTGTTGTAAAGTCGACGGAGCAAGAAGCGATCCTGCAAATATTCTTTCCTCCTAAGAATGATGGTAGGAAAGAAAACACGTTAGACCGATGAATTTGGTAACACCGGAGCTTGGAGCGCGCCCGTATACGCTTAATCGTTCCCGCTTTTTCCCATCCGCAAACAAACCAGGGGATCCTTTTTCCCTCGGTGTCCCTGGTGATCGACTCCTCTCCCCTCTCCAGATAGATAGCTTAACGTCTCTTTTTTCCACCGTCTCGCCGACCACCGTGAAGCCACTTGTTGTCGTACTTGTCAAAGCGTATTGCACGTTGACCGATGGCGGCAAACCGACCGACCGGGTTCATTCCCAAGACGTTGCTGTTGTTCGTGCACGTGAAGATGGCTCGAAGAGAGAGAGAGAGAGAGAGAGAGAGAGAGAAGGAACGTCGCGTACATATTTTTAACGTTAGAACAGAAAGCGAATGTTGGAAGATAGGGCTCGGAGGTAGTTGATTTCATTGGCCAAGGCAAATGAAATTCGTAGGTGCGAACGGTTTGGTGGAGCGGTTGCCGCTTAATGTTTGCTCCGCGAAAGAGACTGATGACTGCAAGAACGATTCGAGACGGTTGTCCGTGAGCGGCGTAATTATTCCGTGGCTACCCGGAGACGGCGAGGATCCGTGTTTCAAGGGCATGGAAATTGTACTACCGCCATTAGGATTTAAATCCTGGAATTATACATTTCACGCGTACTTGCCTTACTTTCTTTTTGTTGAAAATAATTAATGTGAGATATTAAAAAAAGAAAGGAAAAATCTGGTCAACAGAAGAGATTTAAAAAATTCTTAAGAAATTCCTCTCAAGAAACGTTTCGTAAGTTCTTCTCAAAAAGAAATCAAGCTCAAAGGCGATCAAAATTTCGAGTTTCCAAAATACGTTGGAGGAAAGATTCGTTCTCTCGGCCAGTAAACAGTCCGAACAGCGAGTAATTCGAGAACAGAGTCGGCTTGAGATAGTGAGAACAAATGGAGCACCCTGTACGCGCAACCAGCGTGCATGCACGCGGACGCCAATTTATGAACTACACTAGAAAACAGGTCTAAAGCTTCTAATAAATGACGTTCATTCGAAGCATCAGATACGATCGTGTCATCAATCCCGGGTGAAAGCGAGAGGTAATTAATACGACATAAACGTAATCGATACCACGTACCATTTGCACGGTTTCATTTTCTGAATGAAAGAAGATATAACAGATGCAATTTCCTGGATCTGTCGTCCCTCCTCGATCGCCCGACGCGTACGTGCTCCCCCGTACGATACGATCGTAATCACTCGAAATGAGGCCAGGAATTAACCAGTCGGGGATGCTGGTCTCGGGGAAATGAAAGGGCGTGATGCATAAATCATGAAACGGGAACAGGAGAAATCAATCAGACGCGAAGGGGAATCGATTTCTATGTTTGCAATTACACGTTGGTTAAGATAACGTTTGCAAATGTCATATATCGTTTTCTTAAGCTTAAAATTCTTAGATATTACGTATACACGCTCGTGAAACACCAATACTTTTTTTTCTTTTTCTTTTTTTCTCTCTTAATTTTTATTTCGCAATTAATCGCATGGTGTGCATACGCAAGAGAAAGAGTAATAAGTTTGTTCTTGAGGCCTTGAAGAATCTTTTCAAAAATAGGAAGCATTTTCAAAGGAATTCGAAGAGCTAATGATTGGAATTTA